GGGGGCCAGCTGGCAGCAGAAGGACGAAGCTGAATAACCGTAGCCCGCGGGGGAGCCGCTTCGTTCTTCCTACGCATCCGGGTCCGCAGCTGGGCCTGAGCCTTGGCACTTTGTGGTGTCAGTCATTGCATCCCACTGGCCCAGAGAGTATGGCTTGTAAAGTCCCCAGATGGGACTGCCTCCTGCATGGAAACTTGGAACTGCTAAAGCTGGCAGCAGAAGGACGAAGCTGAATAACCGTAGCCCGCGGGGGAGCCGCTTCGTTCTTCCTACGCATCCGGGTCCGCAGCTGGGCCTGAGCCTTGGCACTTTGTGGTGTCAGTCATTGCATCCCACTGGCCCAGAGAGTATGGCTTGTAAAGTCCCCAGATGGGACTGCCTCCTGCATGGAAACTTGGAACTGCTAAACGTTTCAGCAGTTTACACAAATACACGTGTTTCAGCATCCCTAGATCACAGTGGGATTTCTTTATCACAACATCTAACACTAAGACAACTTAGCTTTCTATACTCCAGTTCCTTCCACTGTTTTGACAGGAAAAAATTAAAATACTTTGGAAGGCCATAGTATTTTCCCAATAAACACTGTTAGACTATGTTTGATCTATATAGTTTAATACCAACATGATTACACTTGTCATGTGGTGTTCTCTCACCCTCTCCTCCCAGGGAGAAGCATGTGTAGTGCAATGTCTTGTTTTGGAGTTTCGGTTTTGTTACCCATATACATGTTGCTATTGGGGATGTTAATTAGTGTGTGTTTGTGTAAACATTTATCTGCTAGAATTTCCAGTGGTTAAATGTTTATGTGAGGGGCTGAGGTCGGGAGAGCGTGCTCAGGGGGAGCAGGCTTTTAAGCCTTTTGTTTCTTTCAGGCTGCTGATTGTATTTTCCTCTCTTGAGATCTAGTGACTTAAACCAACAGACTTGCTTCACTTTTCACTAAACCCTAGTATACTCAGTTGTGTGGAGTTAAAAGGCTGTAGTAGTACATTCCTTCCAGTCAGAAAAATTGGACTCAAGTTGCCTAACAGTTTGTAGGTATTGCTCACTGGTCAGTTACCAGCAACTGCACAACCCTGGTTGACTTGATTACTCTTTGGGAATGAGGCTACCTTGTGGCTTAGACAGGTTGAGCACATTGTCAGTGATTAACAAATAGTAACACAAAGATCTGGGAAAGGAAATAGAGCAAGGTCATAAGCCCTCCATATGTCCATGAGACTATTGCATGTAGGCCATTCCACTTTCCTGTGGGCACTTCAGATAGATTACAGATCATGGCAAACTGAGCAGAGTATTCAGAGAAGAGCAACATACATGTTAAGGGGCTGAAGGAGCAGACTGAGACTTTTAGCTCTTAGTTTGGCTAAGCAGTAAATATGTGAAGAATATGCTGGGGAGCAAGGAAGAGAATCACATAATGTTGAGGTTCACAGAGACCCTCCCCATACTCTGAACTGGGAGGAGTAGGAGCTGCTGGCCACGGGGGAAGTCACCCAGCTACTGAATGCTTTCTGTGGAAGCATAGCTCGCTGCAATCCAGGCTATGATAGCAGAGCTGAAGAGGGCTCCATGTACTACCACAGGGCCGATGGCACCTGCTTTCTGCAGGCACTGGGTGGGGGGAAGCTGTGGTCCTGGTGAGGCCAAGCAGAGACTGTGGGGATGAGGAGCACCTGGCCATGGGAAAGGCCACCTCATTGCTGAGTAGCCCCTGCCTCTTGATTATTCAAACGCCCATTACTGTACTGTAATGGGTTGAAGTGAAGGTTCCAGTACTGAGGTACTAGAAAAGCAGACAGCCCACCTGGAACTCTGTAGTAGGGAAGGGGAGTGCGGGCAGGACAGATTAATTAATGTTTTTTCCCACCTATAATTCCTTTCAGTTTGTGGAAGAATAAACTATGCCACTGACACTGCATGGAGACCTTATTTAGATTAGAAAATAACTATCCCAGTTTATCATGACCAGGAATCAAAATAGAGCACTGCCGGTAGCCACAGTGCCTGTAAGCACTATGCTGAAGCCGCTGTGAGTGGCGGAATGCCAGTTTCTGAGGAACTAACTTGAGTTCTAAAAGGCCTTGGAATACTGACCATGCTTAAGAGATCTGACAAGACGACAGGCCAACGGAATCTGAAAGCTCATATGCACTCTGACGCCAGTCAGGGATGTTAAAATGGGTTTTTTAGGTAAACCACTGAAATTTTCAGTGGCTACATGTTTACTAGCTGGGGCGGGGGAGGGAAAGTGGCTCCCACTCTCAATCCAGATGGCTACCTCTATCAGAGGCATCAGTGTGTGTGGGGGGGAGGGGGGCATGCTTCACAGGTACGCGTTCACATCACTAATACTCGTTGCTACTTCCCTTGCTATCTTACAGCGGCTTTGTCAAAGCAGCTGGCACTCAGTGGTATCAGAATTAATGAGCTGTTGAGTTTCAAGTGCAGTAAAATGAAAAGTTGTGGGTTTTGGCCATTTCCTCCCTGAATCTCCCTGCATCCTGGGCTATTAGCTGCCTCTGGTCATCATGGTTCCTTGGTGTGTCTGCAACTCCTAATGGCTTGCTGATGCTGCTTTGTAGGCTGTCACTATGGTCTGTGGGGTCCCTTTAGAATAGGAGGAAGAGATGTGACAGGAAACCCTAGTATAGATAGGCCGTGATCAGACTCAAGTCATGAGATTTTTTGCATTACTGTGTGGCTTCAACATTTCTGGGTAGTTGATCTCATCTGTAGGGAGAATATTTGATGGCTTTAAGACAGTGGTTTTCAGACTGGGTGATGTACTATTGGAGACCCCTAAGGTACATGAGCTCTTGGTGGGGGGAGCGGTGAAGATTTGAGAGAAATCCTGTAATGGCAGACCACACAGTTTGTTTAGTAAGACTTGTCAATCTGATCTTAGTCCTAATCCACATATCTCATGACGTTCAAAGATTTGAAAACCATTGCTTTAAGGCACGTCTGCACTTAAAATAATTCAGCTGCACTGCTATGGTGCTTCAGTGTAAACGCTACCAAGGCCAATTGGAGGGATTCTTCTGTTATTTTTCACCTCCCTTAAGAGGCCAATAGCTAGGTCTATGGAAGAATTCTTCCATTAACTTAGTGCTATGTACATGGGACTTAGGTTGGCTGAACAGCACTACTTGTGTGGATTTTTCCCCAAGTAGTTAAACCAACTTATTTTTCTAGTATAGACCAGGCGTTAGTTAGTGTTGGCAATTAAGTAGGTAGCACTTTCTCTGTACTGAACTATGCAGCATGGCAGGAGATGATGTACTATTGGAGACCTCTTTTCTTCAGATGAAATGCAAACTGACTTCTTGGGCACTCATCTGGAAAAATCCCATAGGACTTTAATTGAAGTCTTAGGGTGGCAGCCTGGCCATGGTGCAGTAGGGTCATTGTAGCAAATTCTCCCTTTGTTTTCAGTTGTATACGGTCTCACTCTTTATTTCCTATCCTGATTTTCTGGGTTGTGTTGCTGTGCACTACTAAGCAACTGCTGGGTTTTACTCCCACTTCAGAAGTGGGGGAAGTGGTCTTTTGAGTTTGAAAGTGTGGGATCCTGCACTATATGCTATGTGAGCCTAAGGGATTGTGTTTTATCTTCTTGTTTCTCTGAAAACTGGCCATTGAGAGCTGAGAGATATTTTTGCTGGGGGCGGGGGCAGTGCAGCACAATTTCTCAACTCCCATTGGCTGGTTGGGCTTGTACCACGGGGCTAAAAATAACAATGTGACCTTTAGACTCCACTTTGAGACCCTCCCCCCTTGCTGGGGTTGAAAACTTGACTGGGCAATGCATGGGAGGGTGTACCCTAGGGAGCATTCTTGCATTTGCTTCCGGGAAGAGGACCTGTGACCTAGCTAGCGCTTCCCTACCTCTAGTGTGTGTGATTTAGAATAAAACCTCTTGAATCACATCTTTTAGAAAGAGGAACCACGTGTCTTCAGAGAGCAGCCCTCCATTTCCCCATCCCCCGACACAACGTGGCCACCTTCAGTGTTCTCGCTGGGCAGAAGTACAGTACCCAGGCAACTGAGACCAAAGAAGAGGAACCCCTGCACACTATCATCAGCAATTCAGAGAACGTGAAAGGTGAGCAGAAGCCGGGGCTGTGGTTGGCAGGGAGTCTCCTGGAGTGTGTGAAAACCCAGTGAAATGGTACTGTCCTGGCAAAACCGTACCTAACTGGGAGGGTAGGAGCATGGGGCTATCTTCCAGGATGTGTGTCCAAGGGAGGAAAAGGTGAAACTGTCATCCCAGCATTGCTTATGGAATGGACTTTCGAGACTTGTGGAAGGAAGTGATCACTGATGCTTCGATAACAATGGATTATTGGAGTCTCATGGTCAAGGACCTCCAGGTATCCTAGCAAATATAAAATCACCAGAACGAACACCACAAGGCAAACATCCCTCTAGCAGAGTAGTAACTACAATGAAGAATGAAACAGGAGGAACATGTTCACTCTGTATCCTCTCAATGTCTCCCAGGTAGTATGGACCTGATGGGAAGTAAAACTGCTTAAAAGTGAGAGAGACACTCCTCTGTAGTTACAGCTGGGCAGAAGCCTGCAGTGTGCTCTGATGGATGTAACTTTTGTGTGTGTGGAAGGGGGTTCCCAAGGATCTGCCTCTTACTACATCTCATTTGTTACAGAAGTGAGCTGTGCCTGCCTAGTTCATTGCTTTTGATGATAGGGGTCTCCGATTAAAATCATGCTGTTGGCCTTTTGGTTAGAACAAATCACTTTGCCTGCCTCCAACCAGAACTGCTTTAAAATCACGGGAGTGATCTGAACACAGAAATAGCATCTTAAAGGTTCTAGGACCAGAACCATGAAGCCCTTAAATGAATGAGGGTCTACTGCCCCCTGAACCCATCATCTAGCCCTCTGGGGTCAGAGAATCTGGGGTTTTGTCCACACACTGCTGCAGACATGTGACAGGCCATGGACTGTATTACTTAGGGTCTCGAGTGAGAGTCTAGCGTAGCAAATGCCAAAGATTGGACTTTTTAAAAAGAGCCTCTTGAGGGAAGCATTTTGTATAGTGGTGTTCTCTTTGTCTCTCTCTAAGCATATTAATCACTGGGGTATGAGCAGTCTTGAGGCTGCTCGAGCAGAGGTCCTGGATTAACACAGTGGCTCCTACTGTTCTACTCAGCACATGCTTTTTATGTTGAGAGCTTAGAGTGCTTGTTGAAGCTCTCAGAGTAGGGCGTTAGCAGAAAGCTCCTTGGCATGTTTCTCGCCACCACCCTCTATTTGGTACAACAGTGAGTGCTCATGTCTTAGAGCACCACACACTGCCAGAGTTAGATGTGGAAGGATTAGCTGGGAAGCAGGGGAGGGCATTTTTAGAGATGAAGATTTGGGGAGTGGATGGCTCTATGGCTTGGGAATGAAGTGTAGTTTTTCACCTCTTGATCACTGGTTCTGCTTCAGCCCACACATGTAGTGACCTAAGCTCACATAATACGCTGTTTAATGGTCGTTCTGTGATCTGTGTGTTGTCTTAGATGACAGGGTGCCCACATGGCAAAAACATTCTGGCATTTTAAAATAGTGCCTTTGTTGGCAGTCTCTGTAGTGGCCCTGGATGCCTGTATCTCCTGCCAGTCCTAGATAGAGCCCTGAGAGGCTGAGGCACATTGCTGAAGCTGTGTGCACCTTTCCTTTCTGAGAACTGTGTGAAATGCCTTTGGCTGTGTGTGATTAATTATAGGAGAAGCCTCCAAACATGAGTTCCAGGCAGAGACGAAGAAGCTGTTGGACATTGTGGCACGTTCCTTGTACTCTGAGAAGGAGGTAGGTCACCCGCTAATCGCTCTGATGCTGGTGAAGTTTCTGTTGGCAAAGCCACATTTCTGTAGGTCTGTGGCAGTGCCAGACACTGTTCTCGCAGTGGAATGCCTGCTCCACTTCCCAACAGACCCCAGGATGGCTGCGCTCCAAGCTTCAGTGAAATCTTTAGTGTGTGTTTTTAATTTCATGTATAAATACATCCAGATGACTCAGTGGGCCTGTTCTGGCTCTGGCAATTGGCTGTGTTTTAGTACCAAGTTTAAACAAATGAGCCCCCACACTACTAAGTGGAGAAATACAGTTGGCTCTGTGCTGCACTGCATGTGGAACTTCAGCCCAAAGGAGCTAATGGAGTCAAGACAATGCTGGGCTAGTATGCTGCCTTGCAGGCACTATCCCCTTCCTTTTACTGGCCATTTTTCTTCCTTAGCTTTTTTGTGCAGCATTTTAAAGGCAGGTATTGATGAAAGACTGCTGGGACCCTGCCGACAGAGGTAAATCTTTGTGCCTTGGCGAGAATGGCATGTGCTCCTGATCTTTAACTAAGGCCTTGCCTAGGCACGCCATCCAGCCATGTTTGGGAAAGGATGCTTCACTATGGGCTTCTGGTTCCATTAGAAAGAATGTGCCCTGGGTTTTCTGGCATCAGTATCACTCAGAAGACTGAAGTGCCAAAACCCCACGCGTCCATTCCATAGGAATCAACAGTGTCACCTCATTTAAGGGCTGTGACATGGTCACATCAAGAGTGTTGTGAGTCACATCAAGAGTGTTTGTGAGTCTGTCTCTTCTGACAAGCCCCTAGGCTGGAACAGAAACCTGCATGTGAGCCAGCAGTGCACTCTGACTGTTGTGGGTGCAGTGCAGCTGGCTAAGTACAGTGCTAGCTAGACAGAGGCTGCGGTACATACCACTGTTCCTTCCCTAGGTGTTTATCCGGGAGCTGATCTCCAACGGCAGCGATGCACTGGAAAAGCTGCGTCATAAGCTGATGTCTGAAGGGAAAGTCTTACCAGAGATGGAGATTCACCTGCAGACAGACAGCGAGAAGGGAACTATCACCATCCAGGTATCTCCCTTAGTTGGCACGTGGAACAGGAAGTCACCTTTCTTCCTTCCACTTGCTCCACAGCTTGTCCTAGCTGAAGCCCAGTAGAAGCTGAGCTGGAGTGCAGCCCCCATTAGTCTCCACAACCTCCTTGTGCCCTTGGCCCTTCACAGCCTTGTGTATACAAGGTTGATCGGTGCTCGTCAATGATACTGGATTGAGTCTATAACCCCAAGTTTGTGTCCCCGCACCATCCCCTGCCCCTGTGAGGAGCTCCCTGCTCCAGCTCTTTCCTGGAAACAACCTATGGCTTCTCTCATGGTGCTTGTTGGAACCAAAGCACTTTCCACATTCTGCATGTGTATCCCCACTAAAAGGCAGCTGGGCTCTTTCTTATTTAAAAAAAAAATCTTGCAGTGAGTTTAGGTGCCTATAGTGGGGACTCTGCTATATAAGAGGAAGCAAAGAGGAACCAGGATCAGTCGGGGGTCTAGACACAGCTGTAAACCCAGCACTGTAATCTGTCTGTCCCATATCTATTCTTGAAGGGCATGACTGGGTTCTGGACATAGCATGGGGTTGCCTCCCCGGCCATTTTGGCTATTAGCCAATGGTGGATTTATCATCCATGAATGTATCGCCTTCTTTTTGAATACAGTTATGCTTTCACAAAATCCCCTTGTAATGATTTCCCTAGGTTGACTGTGTGAAGAAGTACTTCCTTATATTTGTTTTAACCTGCCACCTGTTAATTTCATTGGGTGACCCCCTGTTCTTGTGTTATCTAAAAGGGTAATTAACACTTCCTTTTTTGCTTTCTCCCTACTAGGGAGAAAGACCTGTATCATATCTCCACTAGTTGTCTATTTTCAGTCCGTCTTTTTCATCTCTCCTCATATGGCAACTGTGCCATACCTCTAATCGTTTTGGTTGCCATTAGGGATGTGAATGTGTACCTGTACACAGTTAACCAGTGAGTCTAGGCTCACTGGTAATCCTCACAGCTACATGCAGCCAGCCCGCCCCTCCCCCTTGGCATGCTGCTGCCTCTGTATCAGAGACAGCAGCTCGGTGGGGTGGGGGCAGGTGGAAGCTAATGCTCATAGGGAGCCAGCTTAAAAGCCAACTCTCCTCCCCCCATTTGTGCTGCTGCCTCCCTCAGAGGCAGCAGCGTGGGAGAAGGGAGGGTGGGGCAGGCAGGTGGGAGCCAGTGTTGTGGAGAGCCAGCTTAAAAGCAGACTCCCTGTGAGCACCAGCAGAAAATTTCAGCAGTTACACATTTACAAAAGACCCCCCTCCCTCCCCACACACATTTTAACATCCCAAGTTGCCATTTTCTCTACTTTTTCCAAGTCTGATCATAGAACACTAGAACTAGAAGGGACCTTGGAGACCATCAAGTCCAGTCCCCTGCCCTCACAGCAGGACCAAGCACTGTCTAGATCAGGGCTACTCAATGTGGGGCCTGCAGCCCATTTGTTTGCGGCCCACATGCAGCTGAGAGCCAAAACAAAAAAGTAGCCATATAATGGTCTTCTGTTGATATGCGTTTTAGTAGTTAAATGCCTGGACTGTCATTTCTCATTAAAAGTGCTGTCATATGGCTGGAAATTAGGTAAATGGGGCCTGCATGTTGTGTAGTCTTGCCTTAATTTTTGTATTCATGCCTGTCACTGTAAGAAGCTATTTGCATATATATGCACCCACACTAAAGTTGCAGCCCTCAGCATGTGCTGTGAGTATCATTGTGGCCCCTAGAGCTTCCAAAGTTGAGTAGCCCTGGTCTAGATTGTCCCTGATAGATGTCTATCCAACCTGCTCTTAAATATCTTCACAACCTCCCTAGGCAATTTATTCCAGTGTTTAATTACCCTTACAGTTAGAAAGTTTTTCCTAATGTCCAATGTCCATTGGTTTTTGTCCTGTCATCAGAGGTTGAGAACAATTGTTCTCCCGCCTCCTTGTAACATCTCAGCTGTTTGTCGGCTCAGCGCGGCAGCCATGTAAATGTAAATGAAGCCGCGATCATTTAAATCGCGGCTTCATTTGACTTTGCCTATGTGTCTAATCTACATGCCTCTGACGACAGAGGCATGTAGTCTAGACACAGCCCTGCTGTTTTCTCCTCCTGTCTGTGTAGACCAGTGTTTCTTAAACTATGTTCCGCGGCACACTGGCGTTCCATGAGCAACTCACAGGTGTGCCACGAGCCTTTAATAACTTTTGTTGCTCTTCTTTGTTCCTTTTCCAAATCTTTCTTCAAATGTGGTGCCCAGAACTGGACACAATAGTCCAACTGGGGCATAATCAGTGCAGTGTAGAGTAGGTATGTGAATGACTAGTCTACCATCCAACTATCCAAAAAGCAAATGCTTATCAGATAGTCGACACAGTAGGGGGTGTTTCAAAGACCCAGGGCTCAGCAATGGAAGATACAAGAGGTTTGTAAAAAGGACACATTCCTATCCTTTCTACATCATGAAAAAAAAATCATGCCAGAACATGAAGGAAAACATTAATCAAGACGACGACCCCAGCTGTTTATTTGCTGAGAAGCAGAAAATAATTGGGAGTATGCAAGTGTTGTTGAAAATAAGGATGTTAAATTGCGGTTATCTGGCTAATCAAATAGTTGATACAATTTGTATCAACTACATGATTAGTCGATATGGACCGCTCTGCAGAGCCACAGTGGGACTAGCTCCTGGAGCTGGCTTGAGCAGGGACTGAGCCAGGACTGGGAGCCACCTGTGCTGTGGCTCTGCATTTTCAATATAGTAAGAGCCACCAAGCGCAGTGTCCCGGACCAGCCAAATCCAGCAGCCCCTGGCAAACAGGGACCCCCGCAGACAGGGCCTGCCCTATCGCCACCCCCTGCTGCCTCTAACTTTTAAGCTGGCTCCCTCTAGCACTGTCTCCTGTCCCCAACCTCTTGCTGCCTCCTCTAGAGGCAGTAAGGCGGGGGGCGAGGGGGGAGGGAGGGGACGACAAGGAGTTGA